CAGCTGATTTTCGGGTCTCTGCCGCATATGCATAGGGGCACATGTGGGGGGCACATTTGCAGGGTGTATGCGCAGGGTTGTGCATGTATGCGTGGTGCACACGGGAGGTATGCATGCACGCACAGAGGGTGCACACAGGGAACGCGCTGCATTATAGATGTATGCACATGCGTGCTTTCAGCACTCGGTACCAAAAAGATTAGCCATCACTGGTATAGCTTATGACTTTTAATAAAATGTTAGTCTGGACAGTGTTACCAGACAATTCTTGATTTTGATTACCATATAATAACACAACTTTCACTTTATAAAGTTTGGTTTTGAATAACATTCCAAAGGTGGTCTCAGTTGGCAATTTTATCCATTCTTCACTGCTTTAAACATCTTTTGACAAATCATTGTACTGAATTAAGTTTTTATTTACTTTATAAGTCTATATTCCACACTTTTTCTTCTTTCTCAGCACTAACATTTGCCTTATACAGGCAAGTATATACTATTCAAACAGTCAATCTTCATCTAAATGAACAAATTACTATCTGTAACAAATAATCCTCAACTCAGGACTGTTCACTTAATGACAATTCTAATTTATAATCTTGGAAGAAATGATTTATAACTTGTACTTGCATTTACAACCATTGCACTATTCTCAATCATGATCATAATTTCAGTGCTTGGCAACCAGCCTGCATTTATAACCGGTTGCAGCATCCTTCAATTGCATAATTGCTATTTATTACTCTTTTTGCCAATTTCCATCAAAGATCACCCTTTGGGGAAACTGGATTTGCTTAACAACTTTGACAATTTGCTTAACAATGAGTGTAAAAGTTGTAAAATCAGATCCAATTCAATATGACACAATGAGAAATTCTGATCCCAATTGTGGCCATAAATTGAGGACTAGCTGTATATAACTTTCAATTATGTCATTACAATTCTGAAGGATGGTAAACAGGAGACTGGGTACAAATTTGAATTATATCCATTTTCATGAACTAGTAAAACCAGAGATTATGTGAAGAAACAAGTTGGCTTTCAGTGAGAAATCATGGCAAACTAGATGTCCCTGAAGGAGTGAGGGTGGCATTGTAATTAAATTAGTGGCCAGAAAGCAAATTCTGGCTGGCAAAATCTCTTAGGAAAAAGGTGAGATTGTGAGATTACCCACTAGTACTCTTGACAGTTACCCTCGGGAACAGACTGCAGGAACTGAGGATTTTGCAGTTAGCTTATGACTGGGAGTTGAGAAATTTCAATCAAGCTCACAGCTATAATGAAACCTGTAAGCCTTATTTCTTGAACTATTTTGGATGTCACTAATTTACAGCTACATAGAGATTTTTCTGAGTGGCAGGATAAGAAAATTCCACTTGGTGAAATATTATTTTTTATGGATTAGAAAAGAATAAAGAAAAAATTCTTAAAAGACTTAAACGTTCTTGTTAAAAAGCTTAACAAAGAGTCGATGTAAGAAGGTTTAAAAAGGATAAAAGGGACAATTATTTGAAAAGTTGTGGGGGTTTTTTATGAAAGTGCTTTTGAACAAACTGGAATTCAGTTAGACAAACCAATCAGTCTTCCATAGGAATGTTTTTTTGTTTAATATTTACTATCAGAGAGTCCAGACAATTGGTGAATTTTACAAAACAAAGGATAAAGGTAATATGAGCCAAATGTAATGCTGACTGTAACTATAAAGATGTTGATTATAATGCTGGCAGTACAACAGAGTGTCACATGAGACAAAAGTAGAATCCGCCAAAGCTGCCAGCAGTCCGCAGAACCAAAAAGGTTGTGAACCCCTGCTGTATATGAAAAAAATCTGCATTGTCCACAATGGAGGAATGGCTGGTGAAGGTGATGGAACTTATTGAGTTGGCTAAATTGACTTCTTTGATCAGAGAAAATTCAATATTGTTGTGGTCTGCCGGCGGCATGCAGAGCTGGCAGCAGAGTCGGACAGTGAGAAGGTTGGGGAGGAGCATGGGCCAGTCCTAGAGTCTGGAGAAGGCTTGGGCAAGGGCTCTGCATCGGAGGCAGAGACGGGGCCAAGGCCATCTGGGAGTTATGTGCTGCCACCAGAGCCAACACCAGCGAGGCAGAAGAACAGGCTTCCCCTGTGTCCCCAGTGCATGCATGTGCAGAGCTGCCAGAAGGCAAGAACAGTTAAGACAGAAGGCAAGACTCGGGAGTAAGGCTTGGAGGTGATTGGCCCCTCCCATAGGACATAAAGGAGGAGCAAAGGCACATGAGCCTTTGCAGGAAGCAACTTGGTTCATGCTGGTCAGTTTACATTCAGAAGCTCTGTTTTGATTCTTTGCTCCTTGTAGCCTTGCCATGCTAATTGCCAATTAGGCTTTGCCAGCATTTCAAGGAAAATAAAGGTGGGTGCTTATCAGCCTTATCCTGAAGGACTGCGGCAGCTCACTGTCAGACTCTTTACAAACTATTTGTGATTCATTATGGACTGTGAATGATAATATAATTCATAGCCTTTGAAATAAAAAGAGGGTATTGGGGACTAAGCGCATGCTTTTTACTGTATCAGGTAGCCTAGATCAGAACAAATATTTATGTTTATTGCTAACTGGAAACCCTTTATAGACTTTTTGCATGAAACTAAACAAAAAATAACTTGCAAATTTATCTTAATAAAAGGAATTATTAAAAGTTTAATAAAATTATATTAAAACAAATGAAGAAGCAAGCTCACCCAAACATCCAACTACAATATTATATTTCATTGCTTCAATCCTCCAGTTTCAACATGTTAACTTCTAGTTTTTTCCTTCTTTCAAGACTTTTATAGACTCTGCTCTCACAGTTACAGAATGGTAAAATCTCAGTTTATTGAGTTCAGGATACTGATTTCTTTCATCTTTCTGGTCATATTTAAACACATATTAGAGGTGATAATGATATAGGGTGTTTACTAGCCCCTCTACTTTTTTCACTACTAAAAATTGCTTTTCACATACTTTGTATCAGTAACACAAATAAACAAAAGCATATGTTTTATATCAATCCATCATATAAAACTCTCACCAGACCTCTGATCTAAGTCTGAAACTAAATTATTTGTACTTATTTTGTTCCTAAATAATTTGCTGTATTCCTTGCAACAGAATTTTCGCCATGGCCAGGTTCTGTGCCTCCTATAGCCACATATTACTATTATCCCCCCCCCCCACCTTCTATTTTTCTTAGACTTTGCATATGTTGGCAAACTATCAGCATAAAAAGAATCTCAATTCTCATTTGAAAAGATTTTTGGGTTCTATAATAATTATGAATGTGTGGCTGCATAGCTCCAAAACAGTGAAAACAATATGGATCGACATCAAACATCATTTAAATATATTTAATGTCCATGTCTTCTCATTTAATCTCACTGCTTTGAAAGGCAGTCAGGTCAGATTCTGATCAGCCGGATTTTATCACTGCTTAATCTTTCTGGAAATCCAAACAAGAATTCAAATACCAACTTAAATCCTGCCTTAGGAAGACTCACCCAAGTACATTTATGAACACTTATCATATTGCTTTCTACATTTAGGAAATGTATATTCAAGATGGAAAAAGCATGCTTCATTTGTTCTTTATTAATGCTCCAGGCTGCTTCTTGCCGACAGTTTCACAATGCTCTAATAAGCTCATTCTGTGAAGGAGACCTTACACTAGTTTTGGCTGAAAGCTGAAGCATCTATTTATGACTCTACACTGCAGTTAATTCTCAACAGACCTGAAATGAAAATAACATCTACACAATTATCAAGAGGCAAAGTTTGCTTTTATGTGGTAGCTAAACTGATTTATTGTAAGGTTCAGATATTTAACTGCGGGAGTCAATATGACTCATGAAAAAATGCTCATTTCTAGCACCAATGCTCATTTCCCAATATTGTTTTATTCATTAGGCTTTAAATTTTCAACAAGCAATAATATTGGGAAAGGAGATTATCAGAGAGTGTCATATCTTTTCCTGTCTGTAACCAGGGGCATGTGATTTCATATAACTATGTCAATACAGAACAGATAAGTTCCAGACTAATACTTCAAAAAGGTATTAATTCTTATATGTTCTACCATTAATTTATTTTGCTTACTACTTCTTACTCTTTTTCTGCACTTTCTGCAAAGTTATTTACCTCACAAGGAATAACATACTAGGTGTACATGTATGTAGACATTAATTCCTTTAATTTAACCTACTATCATAATAGTGGGGAAAAAATAAATTGCCCCATTTTCTATAATTCATTTGATTCAGGTTTAAGAAATTTCTCCCATATCATTATGAAAAAATGTTGAACATCTTTCTAAAGATAATCAGCATTATAACTGTAACACTGCTGCCTTTGCTTCACCTGAAAAGCAATGTACAGCAATGGTAAAGTATGTGAATCTAGAAATTTTCAGTTCAATTCTTCTCATTTTGCAAGAAACCTACTTAATTTTATTACATAAGTCATTATTTTCTAAATGTCTTTTCTTTTGTCTTCTAATTTGCAACAGAATAATATTGATAAGCTTTGCCGGGAATGCTGAATTTATTCCCGAAAAGAAGTCTGGACACTCTTATTATTCAACATATATACAACCATTTAAGCTAGTTGTTCCATATTTTTATGAGCCCTTATTATTTCATTCTGATTAAAACATTGAATTATAGTAATTGAAATTGAGGCTGTTGAATGGTTATTCCATTTTCTTGGCATCTTTGCAACATCATGTAGAGATGTTCAACATGTCAGTATGTCATGCAGAAAGGACACCCCTGCCAGCGCTAGCAAAATAAGTGACAGATATAACAAGATAGTTATATAACATAGCCAGTAATCAAGAGAATAGTTTGAGGACTACTAAATGAAGCAAATAGTGTATATTCACTAACATGATCCCAAGATTGTTTAGAAGAAAGAAATGCTCAGAACTGCTAATCAGTGACACAGAGATGCACAATTTATTGCATTTTTCTAAGCATCAATGTTTACCTTTTGTTAAATCAGGCCTTGAAGGCTGGCCTGCGGGTTCTTCAGGATCTTCATTACTACTTTCTGATGCCTCACTGACAGTTTCATCCCCATCATCTTCATCGCTCTCTGTAGTATCACTGGCATCATTATCACTCTCCACTCTCTCATAATCGCTGTCATCTGACTCCTCTTCAGATTCTTGGCTAGGTGAATTCACATCAGGCAAGAGCTTAGGTCTTTTGGCATCATCAGCACTTCCTGCAGCACCACCTTCCATGCTGTTGAAACCTTGTAGAGATCGTTTTTGGGCCAAGATCTGCCCACTGTCATCCGGAGTCTGTACTGTTGGCGTCTTACTGTCATTACTAGAAAAGGAGTTCTCCTTACGGGGCTGGCCCCCAGCTTTATTCTCATGCAGCTGTTTCATAAGGCTTCTGGTATTTTCGTATGCGTCAACTCACTAGTTCAAGTAAGAAAGAAATTTCTATTAGCCTTTCTTTCATTATAATTCAATAACAGAAAATGGGATTGGCTGTTTAATTATATTTCTCAATTTGAAATCACCTTATGTACATTCCCAGATGAAAAACAGCTACATTAAAATAGTTAATGAACTAGGAGCTTATAAACTGGGAAGGAATTATGCCACTGTGCTCATTTGATAATATGCTTTGCTTGTGAAGTACCCTTCTGGATCTGCTCCTGAAACAGTAAGAAGCCACTATAGTTGTTCAAAGCATCACTGCAATTACTTAAGAAGTCCTTCCAAGATCTTCTGAGTTATTCATGTGCATGCCCAGAAGACACTTCCAGCAGAATAACTAATGAAATAGCTGTTTTGAAGAGCAGATACAGAAGTTGCTTCATTTGTGGAAAAAAATATCTTGAATTATTTGCCCAGCCTCGTATATTTATTTCCTTATCTAAGAAAAGATCTGTGGTATTAAGATTCTTCAATCAAGAACACAGATATCTTTCTCTTTTAATCTATTATATATCATCACATCTAGCAGATTCCTATACATTATATTTCAAATATGGATGCCATCTGCTATTTGAAACATCACAAAACTGAAGAGATGAACAGTGCTCTCATTATGTTCTAAACTGAAAAGTTATATGAATATACCTTTTAAATGAAATAACCAAAGTGGGAGCTTGTTCAATTCTTCCAGAGTTCTGTTAACTGAGAGAACCTAAATTCAGTTCAATATTCACCAATTAATCTTACTAGCTAGAGCCAGAAAGAAATCTAACAATCTTGAGTAGGTAAGTTTTATACATATATGACACATGTATTTATACATGTATGAGACATTTTATACATGTATAATGTTCAGCTGTTTAAGAAAAAATGGTAGGAACCCAGAGTTCTTGCATCAAATGATTTAATAATTCCTTTTATCATTAATTTCAGTCACATTAAAATAAGGAGAGGAAATTATAAAAAAAAAGATCCAAAAAAGAAGACCTGTCCTTTCCTAGGTCCATGAATCCTTCCAAAGCTATTACCATATATTTCTCCAGGCAGGTTTCAAAGTCTAATTCATAATTAACACAAAAGCAATAATGTATTTCTCTCTATGGTATTGTAGAAAGAAAAACCTTCTTACCAAAGCTGCCATTTAGTAAAATTAAGCAAGCACAAAACTGTGCTCTGAACAAGAACTTTAGTTCTCCAAGGGAAAAAAAATCTAATATGTAGAATCCAGTAGTTTATTTCTTGACCTGATTCCTTTGATTTGCTACTAAAAATACATTAATTGAGCAGTTTCAAACTAATTCAATGTTAATAGACAAATCTATGGCTAGTCTATTGATGTAAGAGGGTTTTGTCAATATTCAAGAGCAGGATACTGCCAATTATAAGATACAAGAGCTTATTAATGAAGATTAACAAATAATTGTGTTATACTTTAGAGTGCTTTAACAGAATGTTATAATTTGGTAAGTGGATTGGCTTTTTTTTAAACATGGTGTATTTCTGCATTTTAGTAAACCTCATTTAATATCAATGGCATTAATAATTGTATTTCCAAAGAAAAAAAATATTTTCTATATTGCTAGTTTTTCTTTTAGAGGCATACCCTTATATGAATTCCATTTGTGTCCTCTTTATCTGCCCCCCCCCCGTAACAACCTCTTTTTTGGATGCAGTGCAAGACGGATTCAAATTTCCCGCTATCCCCAATGCTGTTACATCATTAAGCATCACTATTTTATCTCATCTTATGATTTTAACTATATAGTATTAGGTGTATTTCTGCCTTTTCCCTCCATTTTTTGGATTGGCTTTACTGTTCATGTATTGCTTCTGGGATGCTTCTGCAATATGCTGTAGGGCTGATTTTGATGGAGCTAAGGTGTATAAGCCAGGATCTTCTTTTTAATTGCTCAGAGATGAAGTAGGATAGCAGGAGAACCCAGCCATTTACACTGATGTCTCATACCAGGTTCCGAGAGATATGCTTTAAGCAGGCAAAACAAGGCAAGCAGCTTGGCATCGTTCAGATCATTCAGATGGACTACAATTCTTTGCTAGCTGGAACTAAAGTCTAAAACATTTAGATGGCACAAAATTGCTTTCCCCATTATAACAAAAGAGGTGCCTTAAAATTTAAAGTGCTGTTTCTGTCAAACAGAATTAAATGTGCATATTTCAACACAAACATTAATTTTAAATGTTACTTGGGACTCTAGCATGCAAGGACTTAAAAGTTAGTGCCTAAAAAACATGACAGTTTGTCATTGAAGGAATTTTTCTAACATGTAGGAGCTATGATTACAAAAGCCCTCCTTTTCCTATTGTTCACATAATGTGGGAAACTGTAAAAGCACCAAGAAGAGATTGGATAATCTTTTGTCTGAAATGGTGTAGTGTTTCCAGCCTAAGCAAGGGGGTTGGACTAGAAGACTTCCAAGGTGCCTTCCAACTCTGTTATTCTATTCTATTCAACACTTGCTGTTGATTTCCTCTTTGTGATTCTAATCAGATGGATGGAGAAAATGAGTAGACAAGCCACTGCTTCATTAAAATTGTGATGGAACGTGTTATCAATGAACCCTAAAAAGACAAGTTTTGATTATTGATTTCATGCAGAGGAATTTTTAAAAATCAGTTAAGAACATGCTAGACATATAGAAAAAGTATCTACTGGAAGTTAAAAGTCTGGTTTAAATACATAAGGAGACATTTTAAAATATGTTGCTGTTTTACCCCTACCAGCAATCTGTTATTTCCCTATTATCCAAAATGCAAAGACATAAAGTATTGTCTCTGAACTTGGAAGCTTTAAGAGATCAAGAGTTGGAAGGGACCTTGTAGGTCATCTAGTCCAACCCTCTGCACAAGCAGGTGAACCTACACCAGGGCTCCCCAAACTTGGCAACTTTAAGACTTGTGGATTTCAACTTCCAGAATTCTCCAGCCACAAGTCTTAAAGTTGCCAAGTTTGAAGACTTCTGCCCTACATCTTTACTGATGGCAGTCCAATCTCTTCTTGAAAGTATCCAGTGGTGGAAGTTGCTCCCACAACTTCCGAAGGCAAGCTTGTTCCATGGGTTGAAACGTCTCCTTATTTATAGGTTGAATCTCTCCTTTATCAGTTTCCATCCATTATTCCTTGCCTGGCCTTCAGGTGCCTTGTAAAATACTTTGACCCCTTCCTTTCTGTGGCAGCCTCTCAACTATTGGAAGGCTGCTATCATGTCTCTCCTGGTCTTTCTCTTCCCTAGACTAGCTTCATTGTATCGCCTTAGATTTGAGCTAAACAGCAATTTTACCAGTTCTGTGACGGGCAAAATAACGATCAATTCCCATTAGGCAGCCAATTGTGCATAGGCCTCAAATGTTACCTTGTCCCACTTGCTAGTCGGTAACAAAATGGAGTCCTTGTAGACTCCTTGAAATGGAGCTTACAAGGTCCCTTTCAACTCTGTTAATCTGTTAAAGCTTCTGCGTGGCAGCCATTAGAGAGTTCAGGGTCATCCACCGGAAGAGGCAGTTTGTAGGAAAGGATATAGGAGAACAATCGGAGGGTGGGGGAGCTGTTAAACACGAGTTCTACCTGCCTGTGAGGGGCTGCCCACGCTGATGGTCACACGATCACACACTCCGACCCTCTCCCCGGCCTGCCTCCACGATCTTCCCCGGCCTGCCGTTAAGTCACGCAGCCACAGGTCCTTTCCGTATCCTGGCAACGGCACGACGGGAGTTGGGGGGAAAGCTGAGCTCGCGGTAGTCACAAAGAGCGGGGCCTGTGTGAGTCAGTCAGTTGCGCATGCGCGCCTGGAAACCACAATTCCGGATGGGGAGGGCCGGAGGAACTTTCCGAAGGGAGCCAGCCTACCCCGGGTCCGCCCCGCCTTCCTCTTGACGTCACCGCAATAAACAGAAAACTTGGGAAGGTTTTCCAATAACGGCTTTTATTTACAAACAAGTGGGCCAGCCCGCTTCCTCCCCCCGCCCCCGGCAAGAGAGCCCCGCAACAAGCTCCGCCATCGGCTATTTGCTCTCGGGAGTAGTTAGTCACAGTCATTTCGGTTTGCTCTCCGTAGCATCAGGAATAAAGAGCAAAGGAAATTCAGTTAGTTCAGCTATCAGCGGCTTGATTGGGTGCCAGTTCCCTCCTTTCCTTTCCTCGGGGCCAGGGAGCTCCGTTCCTCCTGAGTTGTGCGCCACGATCACTCCTGATTCATTCCTAATCACGTCAGCTGAAATCGGTGGGACCCAAGTCGTACTGGAAGGCGATTTGCAATCGCTGACATCCCGAAGGGTCAACAGAAGGGGGCGGCTTCCTCCGATCGGACCCCTGTGGAAGAAGAATAGGAAAAGGCCCCGCTTGTTCAGTGAGATGGCAGTCCACGGGGATTTCTTTCTTCCCCTTCGAACATGAGGTTGGGAACGTGATTGGGGTGGAATATAGGTAGTCCTTGACTTACGACCTCAATTGAGTCCAAAATATATGTTGATAAGTGAGACATTTGGTTAAGTGTGTTACGACTTGTCTTGCCACATTTCTTAAGTGTATCACTGCGGTGGTTAACACTGTTAAGTGAATCTGGCTTCCCCGTTGACTGCGTGCTAGAAGGTCACAAAAGGGGATCACATGACCCCGGAACACTGCAACTCATAAATAGGAACCGGTTGTCAACATATATTTTGGA